TTTTTCCATCCAAGACCAGGACTCGAACTTGCTATCTGATGCTTTATGATTATTAGCAGGCATCCTACCACCTGAGCCAGGCCTCCAACCCCTAAAAGATCATTTTCTGGAGTTGCATATCTATCACTTACAAGTTTCCAACACTGTTGTCATTTGAGTCTTGGCATTTTCCCTAGGCTGGGCTGCTCTCTCCAGGTGCAAAAAAAAAAAAAATGGAGAAGGTGAACAAAAACAGTAGAGGAGAAGCCACTGGTAGAGGGAAGGAGTTAGATCAGGAGGTAGAAAACCTATCTTCCATAAGATTCCTTTGTGGTTTCCTCTTCTGTGCAATGAGAGTCTTAGGACAGGCTTACTTTGCAGGGCAAGGGTGTGGGGTAGCATGGTACCCTTTCTCTGGTATATTGTCAGTCTCCAGAGCATCTCTCTTGGAACACCCTCCTCTTCCCCCAACCCTAGAGCTTGGCTGTTATTTAAAGCTGAGGCAGATCACAATTCCCAGAGCCAATCGGCCTCCCTAGGCATGCACTTATGAATATCCCCACTGTGCCTTCCCCAGGTCTCCTAATTCAATTATGGAGGCCTCACACCCAGCTCGTATCTCCAGGCCTCCATAGCCCTACACAGCCCGCTACTGCTGATGGGAAATTTTAATTTTTAAATTAGTATATATTTGTGTACAAGGAGGAGGGATTTCTTTGTGACACTTTATGCATATACAAATGTATTCCAATCAACAATCCTCCAAACTCCAAGAGAGATCTTTGTTAAGGCAACTATGATTATGTTACTTACTTTCTTGAACCATTTGATGGTTCCTAATTTCTACAGGATGAATTTCAAGTGAGTTTATAAGGTGTAGAAGTGCTTTCTTAATTTTTTTGGGCATACACTGTGAATTTGCCTTTCTCTCCTTGTTCTTTTGTACTCAAAGCTCCAGTTATGTTCCTACAATATCTTTGTTCATTCTCATTCCTGGGAGTTGGTACCAAGTCTTCTTCTGCTGGAGCACTTCCCTTGTTCAGTGTGCATGCTTTTCTTCCTTTATCTTTGGCTCTCTTCTACTTATTTGTCCAAATTCAGTGAAGGTGCCAGTTGCTTTGGGTAGCTCTCCCAAGTTGGGTTAGCTGTCTGCTGGACTTGCTCTTGTCAGAGCTCTTTAGAGCACTGTATTGGGATGATTTGGATGCTGAGCTCTGAGAGCATTAGACCTTTGCCTTATTCAGACCATGTCTCAAAAATATAAGCAGAACCCGGACATTAGATATACTCAGGTAACATTTTTTTTGGGGAGATCCAGTCGTGGGGCTTGAACTCTGGGCCTGGGCGCTGTCCCTCAGCTCTTCAGCTCAAGGCTAGCGCTCTACCACTGAGCCACCTTCCCAGCCCCAGGTAACATTTTTTGAGGGGAAGGGAGATTAATGTTGCCAAGGCAGAGGGGGCTATTATCTAAATAAGCCTCTTATAAGGCCTCTTATTATCTAAATAAGTCTCTAAGACCATGTGAGTTGATGTCCTCAAAATAATAACAGCCTGATGTACATATATGAACGTACTGGCAGGGGCCAAATCCAGTGCTCTGTACATGACAGAAAAATACTCTACCCCTAAACTTCTCCCGCAACCCATAGCCTATTACAGGAAAAAAAAAAAAACAACCTTCCAGGTCTAATTTTTTTTTTACTAATTCTATAATTTTTCCCTGTCCAAAAGTTTATTTTTATTGTTATAAAGGTGATGTACAGAGGGGTTTCATCTGTCATTCTTTTTTATCTTTTAAAAATGGTTTTCTTCAAATAGGTGCACCAAAAAATTTTAATGTAATGTGTTCATTTATGAGCACAATGCAACCTGATTAGAGTCGCCCCTTCTATCATTCTTCCATAGTTTATCCCCCCCATTGATTAGTGCAGTTTTCTCATATGTCATTGAGTATCGTAACTGTGTTCACCCACCGTTCCTTTTTATAGTTATCTGCCTCTTCCTTTTAGTTCTCACCTCCATGTGGTAAAGACATGTTCTAGTTTCCTGGTATTCATCTTGTTGGACTGCTTGTTAGTTATTCAAAATGGTTTCACCATGGAATCTCACTCCTGTTTATACCATCCTTTAGTTAGCAGGATTGGGTATAATTGAATATGGCCCTGTATGTGTTTTCAAATATGTTTATATTCTAGGTCTAATTTCCACATATGAGAGAAAACATGCACTCTGAGTCTGGTTTACTTCACGCAGTGATTTTTGTCCACATATTTTCTCGATTCATTTATTGGTTATAGGGATCTGGCTTGTTCCATAATTTGGCTATGGTAAATGTGATGAAGCTGACTTTAGTGTATCCTGACTTGCAGTCATTTAGATAAATGCTCAAGTGGTAGTCAGTACTTTTAAAATGAATTAATTTTTAAATGAAATGATCTGGAGTTGATAATAATGATAATGATTACTTTTGTCCTGGTCCTTGGGCTTGAACTCTGGGCCTGAGTGGTGTCCCTGAGTTTTTGTGCTCAACACTGGTGCTCTACCACTCTGAACCATAGCTCCATTTTTGGCTTTTTGGTACTTAATTGTAGGTAAGAGTCTCATGGACTTTCCTGCCTTGGCTGGCTTAAATGGTGATCCTCAGATCTCAATCTCCTGAGTAGATGGGATTACAGCTATGAGCCGCCAGCACCCAGCTGGAGTTAATAATTTATTGAATCAGGGTAATGGACAAATGAAATTTTATTGTTCCTTTTTTTCTTTGTTTATACATGTGCTTGATATTTCTTGTAATAAATGGCTTTTGTATTATTTTATTTTTCATTTGTTTGCCTTCCTTCCTTCCCTCCTTCCTTTCCTTCCTCCCTCTTTTCTTTCTTTCTTTTTCTTCCTTTCTCTCTTTCTTTCTTTCTTTTCTTGGCAAGGTCTTTCTATGTAGCCTATGTTGACTTGGAACTCACTATTTAACAGGGCTACACTTGAACTTGTCATTTTCCTGCCTCAGCCTCCCAGGTACTAAGATTAGAAGTATGTGCCATCATCCCAGGATGTGTTTTATGACTTTAAATGTCATTTATTCTTCAATTGCTGTAGATCAGAGATTGGGGCAAATGCTGCCACCATCGCATAAGCAAGTCTCATGGAAAGAAGTTTCTTTAAATGATGTTTAGAGAATGGCTGCAAAATGGATACTCCGTTTGTCCCTGCAGTCCCTGGCCAGAACTTACCATTTCAGGCCGGTGGCGTCAGAAAATCAACAAACAAGATGGCAAGAACAAGGGAGAACATTGTTCTGTCTAAAGTGGACAATTTGTGACAGAGCTCAGGAAGCCTGGGCTTTGCAGCTTTTCCAGTGGTTCCTAATAGACCGGGCTTTGTGCAAACTTTGCTCGGCCATGCAAGGTCCTATCTTTCGCTGCCTTTCTTCCTCTTCTGGCTTGGCTGAAGGAAGTTGTAAGCAGTCATTGAGTTCTTTGAGTAGAAAGTGATTGAATTGGGTTGCTTTGCTTGGCATTTTAAAAGGGATGTTTTTCTTGGGGAAGTTGGAGGTTGGCACTGCCTTGAAATTACACATTTTAGAGGGTAATACTAATTACTTTCTGGGCATATGCTGTATTTGTCTGAAAGAAGATTTAAACTATTTCAGTTTGAAAAGATCCAGAAATTATGCTCCCATTGATGAAGCTTTTAGCCAGATAGTGGCAATGAAGCAGAGAAACAATACATTTCTATTTGCTAATCAATTGGTCAATCAGTGGCAGGTTCTTACCATGTGCCCACTTGTATATCATGCCCACTTGCAGATGAAAATAACTAAATAAGCAACTGTTGGAAAGACATTGGCAAAAAAGCCAAGCATATGGTGTCCTTGAGGGATCCTAGGATGGCATCATAGGACCACTAGGAATCTATAGGCTTTAAAAAGAAATGAAGAGTTAGATGCCAGAGGCTTACTCCTGTAATCCTAGAGTTAGGGGCCTGAGATCAGAGGATTGTGGTTTGGAGGCAGCCTGGGCAGGAAAGTCCATGAGACTCTTATCTCCAATAAGCTACTCAAAAAAGAAAAAAAAGCCGGGCGCTGGTGGCTCACGCCTGTAATCCTAGCTACTCAGGAGGCTGAGATCTGAGGATCACAGTTCAAAGCCAGCCAGGGCAGGAAAGTTCATGAGATACTTATCTCCAATAAACCACCAGAAAACCAGAAGTGGTGCTGTGGCTCAAGCAGTAGAGTGCTTGCCTTAAGCTGAAGAGCACAGGGACAGCACCCAAGCCCAGAGTTCAAGCCCCATGACCGACAAAAAAAAAAAAAAAGGCTGAAGCTGGGTGTCAGTGGCTCATGCCTACAATTGTAGCTACTCAGGAACAGTGGCTCAGGCCCAGAGTTGAAGCCCCAAGACTAACAAAAAGAAAAAAAAAAGCTGAAAGTAAGGATATCCCCCACCCCCAATTCCCTAAAGTCCAAACCTTCACTTACTTTTTTTCTCCTTGTGATTCTATACATATCTAATCAATAGTCCATTTCTGATGGAGGTAACAAGCAGAATTGTAATTTTGCTTTTAGCCAAGGATTTATAAAAAGTAGATGTGGGAAGTTGCAGTTCAAGTGGCAGAATGTCCAGGTGAATGAGCAAGCTTGAGTCCTGAGTTCAAACCCCAGTACCAAGGGAAAGAACTGGCGGATGTTCTGAAGTGCAGAGAATACTATTCTTTCTCTGTAGTCAACAGAAAAAGCCAGCATCAGATGCAGCTCTTATCTGAGGACACAGAATGACTTCAGAGGAGGAGTGGAAATAGCTCCAAAGTCCAAGTGTCTCTTCTGCTCAGATTTTATGTGGCCCAAATTATACTAGTGAGAGCTTGACTCCTGTAGATTCAAGGTGAAAATAACCAGAAGATTCACAAATGGCATTAACATATTAACTGACTTAAGTGCCCATAAATTTTAACCTTATTATTATGTTTATTCTTAAAGGCAGAAACCAGGTGAGAAAATAAGTTACTTAGCTAAACCTGAATGTTCTGGGAAAGTCTAAGATGAAGAGTGAGTGACAGAGAGGGGGAGGCATTTTTTTTGTTCCCTAATTTGGCACGAACGAATGGACCTGGTGACTCTTGCCATTCATTCCCTCATCTTCACCTGCCTTATTTCAAATGATAAGGAGCACAGAGACAATGACTAGTCTTCAAACCTTGATTTCCAAAGTTCAATAAATGTCTTCTATAAAGGTACAGCTCTGAGAAAGGAGAAACTTGCACACCTTAAAGGAGAAGTTGTTAAAAATGTCAGCTAGCAGACATTTTAAAGAAAAGACAAAAAACAGAACACAGAAAGCATTCCCACCCAGACTTTATCTGCTGACCCCTGGCTTTCCTTCCACTTCTGCTAACTTGTTCTGCAACAGAAGTGTCCATGGGTGTTGCTGAAGGAACATCTTCAAACTGAAATATATTCCTTAGGATATGTAGATTTCCAGTGGGATGATCTCAAATCCATCTTGCAGAAGTAGAGAAATCAGATTTGCTATAGAACTCAGAAATCTGGCATGAAATCGATCATCTCAAATTCGTTATTTCTTTCAAGCAGTATTTCATTCATCTTATTTGCTCATGTTTTGTTCAATTATGATTTCTACAATTTCTCACTATTTATTTCCTTCTAGGGGAAAATAACCATATAACAAAGTAGCTGGGCATTAGGTAGTTCACATTGGATTGATTTGGTTAACCTCAAGAGATCAAAAAAAGCCAGATTCTGGTGGCTCTAGCCTATAATCCTAGCTACTCAGTAGGCTGAAATCTGAGGATCGAAGTTCAAAGCCAGTTTGGGAAGGAAAGTTTTTGAGACTCTTATCTCCAGTTAACTATCAAAAAGCCAGAAGTGGATCTGTGGCTCAAGTGGTTGATAGAGTGCTAGCCTTGAGTAAAAAAGCTTCGGGATAGTGCCCAAGCCCCAAGTTCAAGCCCCAGGCTTGGCATGCATGTGCACATGTACCCACACAAAAACACACAAGATCAGGAAAAGTTCCATAAAAACTTCACGGGCTCTCTCTCTTTTTTTTTTTTTTTTGTTCATGTGGTGCTGAGGAACCGAACCCAGGGCCTCAGGCATGCAAGGCAAGCATTCTACCACTGAGCCACCTTCCCTGTCCCTCCCCCACAGTATAACCCCTGCTTTCACTATATTTGATGTCAGTATAATTTGTGGAGGAGATGGGGAAAAACAAGTCGTTTAAGGATACAGGTAGACCTGATGCAACTATGAGAAGTACAAGTTGTCATGTCAAAAACGAACTTTACAACTTTGGTGGGGGGGGGGTGAGGGGGGGGGGAGATTGGGGGGGGGTGGGGGCGGGGGGAAGCTGGGAAGGGATGTGAAGGGTAAACAAAGGAGGAGGCTGCAATGCTTGATAAGAAATGTACTCATTAATGTGAAGGGTAAACAAAAGGAGGAGGCTGCAATGCTTGGTAAGCAATGTACGCATTATCCTGCCCATGTAATTGTAACCCCTCTGTACAGTATCTTCACAAATAAAATAAAATTAAAAAAAAAGAAATGTACTCATTATCTTGCCCATGTAATTGTAACCCCTCTGTACAGCCGGGCGCTGGAGGCTCACGCCTGTAATCCTAGCTACTCAGGAGGCTGAGATCTGAGGATCGTGGTTCAAAGCCAGCCCGGGCAGGAAAGACCGTTAGACTCATATCTCCAATAAACCACCAGAAAACCGGAAGTGGCGCTGTAGCTCAAATGGTAGAGCGCTTGCCTTGAGCTGAAGAGCTGAGGGACAGCGCCCAGGCCCAGAGTTCAAGCCCCACGACTGACAAAAAAATAAAAATAAAATAAAAAAAACTTCACAGGCTCAGTTGGGAGGGATGGGTGAGAACTTCAAAAGGGGTGACATTGATTGAGATATATTGTATTCATAAATGCCTTGTTAAGTAGCAACTACTTAGAAGATTATTTTTGCAAAAAAAGAAAGCACACACACACACACACACACACACCTCTTTTCTATTGTTGTTGGTAGTAGTGGGTCTTGAACTCTTGGCCTGGGAGCTGTCCCTGAGGTCTTATGCTCAAGGCTAGTGCTCTACTACTTTGAACTACAGCTCCACCACACACATAAATCTTTATAGGCCATCTATGTCTCCCAGGGACTGGGGATCTCTGTCTGTAGTTGAGGGAAGACCCTTCCTCACGTATTTGACAAAGTTGGGTGGCCAGAAGTGGGGATATGCAGGAAAAATGTGCAGATTTATTTGAATGTTTGATTATAAAGCTTTGGGTAATAGAACAGAAATGCCCAAGTCAGAGATCTCTCCTCTGAGGGACATGATTGCTTTCAGATTCTTATAATCTGCTCCAAAGTTACAATTTCTTGAAACATGTGCAGGATAATTTTAAGGTATTCACACATATAGAATGACCCAGATAGTTGATTTTGGTTTGACACTTGCCGGGCCAGATTTCCTCTCCTAGGTTTTTGACAAAAGAACATGGGGATTCAGGGTAAGAGCCTTTTGTTTACTGCTAGGATGTCTTCCATTACCTTCTATTGACTCATGGACCCAGGTCCGAAGTTGCCAGCCTCTTGCATTCTAGGTGATTCTTTCTATCTCCTAGTCATATGTAGTTTGAAAAGTCAATTACAAAAATGTGTTGAATGCAGGTAATATACTTTGATCCGATTCATTCCCTTCTATTCCTCTTTTTTACCTTACACTTTTGAAGGTCTATTTGTTTAAATAGTTTTAATCTTCTGGAAGTCTATGTCTCTTTGTATTTTAAATATAACTTTGAAATCATGTTCAATGCTATTGTATTGTAAGATACAACAATAAATAACCCCTTTGTCTCATTCTTGTAATTCACTTGTTTGCTTACCTATATATATTTGCTTAGATTTCCAAGACATTTTCAGTATTTTCTGAGCTACTTAAAGGGAGAATGTCAATTTTGCTAGGTTTTATTTTTCATGGTTTATGTCATAATTAAATGTGCATTAATAAAAAATTTAGAAAAAAGTGTTGAAATTATGTTTATAGTATTTTTAGTTCATTTTCAGTTTTAGTGTGAATAAATATCCTTAGATGGGTCCATGCTTGAAAATGAATCCTGAAAAAATTTAGTGTTGAGAATTCAAAATCATATAGACAAAATAAATCCTTCTGGAAGAACATACTTGGTTACATAATTGATACAAAATTGAATCACCTACATAATACATAATTTGGCTTTTATTCTTGAATATTTTAATATATTCTGATGGATATTACATTGTTTATACTATCATCCTATCAATATTTTTTGCTTTATCTGAAACATTCCTTATTTTTCAGATATACATATTCATAGATATATACTCATATTGTGGGGCTGTTTGGGGGACAAGGGGGTAAGGGACAGAGAATGATGGAGGATGAACAATAGCAAAATGCACGTCTGTGTATGAATACAACATAAGCAAATACAATAGGATGCAGATGGGATGAGGAAGTTAAAATGACTACATTATAAAATGCCCATCATAAAATACTATGTGAAACACCTTTTTATAATTAATATACACTAAAAATGCGGGAAGAAAAGAATGACTGGACAGTAAAACAGGCTCTGTTGGAAGTGGGGAGTGACAGCAGGTGAGGAGGGCCAACAGAGAGGGAGAATGAGGGTAACTATGGTTAAAGTACCTTCTAAGTACTTATTCTATTAATGTCTGAAGTAAAAAAAGTGATTCTGTTCATGAGCTCTTATATTTATCACCCAGCTTTGATAATAGAAAATATTGTGTGAATGTGGTATATACACATATACATTATACACATTTGTGTATATATATTATGCATGGATATAATATGATATATGATACATGTGTATATATGCATATGTGCACATATTTAGATGTATATTATATAGCTTTATATTTATATAATATACTTATCATTTCTATATTTAAGCAATAATATATCTACATATGTATATATACTGTATATATATTTATATACATACAAATACATACATTTCCTATTTGTCCATTCAGAATCCTATTCAGAAAATAATTACCTATGCTCATATTGTCCATAGTTTTCCTGTAGTTTTTTTTTTCTTTTTCTTTCTTTCTTTTTTTGTTGGCCAGTTCTGAGGCTTGAACTCAGAGCCTGGGCATGGTCCTTGAGCTTATTTTGCTCAAGGCTAGCACTCTACCACTTGAGCCACAGTGCCACTTGTGGCATTTTCTGTTTATGTATTACTGAGGAATCGAACCTAGGACTTCATGCATGCTAGTCAAACACTCTATATCACTAAGCCACATCCCCAGCCCTCCTTTACTTTCTTTCTTTCTTTCTTTCTTTCTTTCTTTCTTTCTTTCTTTCTTTCTTTCTTTCTTTCTTTCTTTCTTTCCCTTCCTTCCTTCCTTTCTAACACTTTCATGTCTAAAGTAACTCTGTCATCTTGTAATGTCAATAAATTTTTCCATTAACTACATATCTAAAAGCACATTACATATTTTAAGTATGCATATATGTACATATAATTTAAAAGGATATCTATTTAAACCTAAATATATATCTACCTACATATGTGCACTATTTATACATTTTGGGAAGCAATACTGGGGTTTGAATTCAGAGCCTCATGCTTTCTAAGGAACACATTATATCACTTGAGCCACATCCCCAGTCCATATTCCTTTCTTCTGTATAAAGGATGCTTACCAGTGGTCTTTCTTTTTTGTGATTTTGCTTGTGGTGGTTTCAGTCAACCATACTCTGAGAACATTATTTGTTTTGATTCTTCAAGAGAAAGAGATCATGTTCACATAGTATCTTCCTATTTTTCATGTAAGAGTCCTCATCAGAATTTCAAGGTGCTCAGGTTGCAGTTGAATTGATGGTATGGTGACATCTGTAAATGATTACCGGTGCTTTGGGCCTCTTCACATCTCTCAGCCTCCTTTGCAATGACATTGGCAGAGGGCTAGCTTATCATCAAAGTGCAAAATAGTATAAAGTAGATATAAACAGTGG